AGATTCCTTCAGTAAGAATCAGTGAGAAACCAAGATCGGAATCAATTATATCAGAATCGGTCTTGGATCATATAAAACAGTCACAAGGACAACCGCTCCAAGCCCTTTACAGGATGATAAAAGAACAGATTCCTTCAGTAAGAATCAATGAGAAACCAAGATCGGAACCAGTTGTATCAGAATCTGTCTTGGATAATATAATACAGTCACAAGCACAACCATTTCAATGTGGAGAAAGCAGCAACTCAATTATTGATATAAATAATGATATCTTCAAGATTGAAAATAATATTCCTGAAATCTGGTCAGTGCAACAATATCGCAGTTTTAAAGGAAAATACGATGGATTGGACGTTTTTAACAAAAAGTTAGGTTGCAAGTATTGTGCAAAACATGACTCCATAAAAATGAAAAGTATTCATGTTTCAAATGCATGGAAATATTTTCAGATTGAGGCAGCGGGGAAAAATAGAGACGTTAAACAAGCTTCTCTAAGGAAAAAAATGAGAGAACATTTTTTATCAAAAGCCCATAACATTTGTAAAGCGAACATAAAGCAATGTGAGGAGGATTTAATAGCAAAATTTAAAATGAATGAAAAACATTTACAAGCTACTTGCAGAGTATTTAATACAGTTTACAGCTTGGCACAAAGATGTAAACTATTTTCAGACATCGAAGATGAGATAGAAGTGCAAATTAAAAATGGGTTAGATATGGGAATAGGATTACACTCATGTAAAACTGCAGTGAACATAGTTGATTTCATTGCAAATGAAATTAAACAACAATTATTTACTAAAATCATTGAAAATAATCTGAAAATATGCTTGATTGTTGATGAAGTTGCAACGATATCTTGCAAACCAGTCATTATACTTTTCTTAAAAGTTGAGGATTCAATTACATCACCAACCATTTTCCTTGAGTTAGTTGAATTGGAAAAACAAGATGAAGAGACAATATGTTCTTCAGTTATGAAAAGTTTAAATAATGTCGGGTTTACGAAGAACTACCTAAAAAAAAATTTAATAGGATTTTGCTCCGATGGTGCCAGTGTTATGCTTGGGAGAAAATCTGGAGTGAGCACCATGATAGCAAAAGAGTTTCCAAACATAGTAATATGGCACTGTTTAAACCATCGCCTCCAGCTAGTTTTGGATGATTCGATAAAGGAAATAACGCAAGTAAATCACTTTAAAATATTTATTGATAAAGTACGTACTATTTTTCATCAATCCAATAAGAACCAAAGTGAACTTGCCAAAATATCAAAACAACTTGGAATTGAAATTATGAAGATTGGTAGTGTGTTGGGACCAAGATGGGCTGCCTGTAATTTAAGGTCAACCCTAGCTGTGTGGCGTGCTTATCCAGCGCTACATCACTATTTTCATTCAAATAAAAAGTACTTGGGTATGGCGGCCCGTCTTGAAAATATACATTTTATAACTGATTTGGCATTGATGATTGATATTCTGAATGAAATTTCTTATCTTTCAAATGCACTGCAAGCAAAAAATGTGGACATAATAAAGGCTGAGAAACTTTTGATGGGATCTATTAAAGCGTTTCAAGTGCTTGGAAAGGAAAAGGGTCCATACGAAAAAAAAGTGGATGAATTAATTATTTCGGAAACCTTCAAAAATATCAAATTTGTAAAAAATGATCGATTCCTTGGGCTTCCTCGGGAAAGACTTTTAAAACACATCATAATGAATTTGAGGAAAAAATTAATGGATTGTGAACATTTGAAAACAGACTGTAGCCGATTTCAAGACAGGAATAAATTACAATTTTTCAAATTTTTGGAGCCAGATTATTGGAATATTGAAGAAATAGCAGTTCCATGGAAAGCCGGTGAAGAAGAATTGCTCATATTTAATGACATTTTTAATTACCAAATTGATATTAATGATTATCGAGATTTTGTGGAAAATGTTTTAGAAAATTCCCAGAAATATGCAATTCCTCAAAGTATTCAAAGAGCGAAAAATATTATCAGAACAATTCCTGTCAGTTCAGCAGAAGCAGAAACTGTTTTTTCAAACATGAACATCATATGTTCACAGAATACAAGTCACCTGACTGTTTCTAATGTATCAAACATAATGACTATTAGTCTAATTGGTCTACCTCTCAAAGAATGGGATCCTACCCTTACAGCGGAAAGATGGTTAAAGGTGAATCAGACAGCCGACGAAATGCTGAAAATTGCAAGTGAGGACACCAACCGAAAAGCAATATGGAAATATCTGACATAACAGTTGTATTGGTTTTTGCCAGGTATTATGTAATAGTTCCTTACTATTTTGAAACTTTCTTATAACAAAATCTAATTTTGTGTACCTCTTTTATTGTTCTTATTTAAGTGTCGTGAACATCCGCTAAGGCTGTTTTGGAGGCTTCAGGATTGACACACAATAGGGAGAGGGAGAAATAGATGGGGTTTTGTAGCCAAAATAATAAAAAGTTTTGCTATGGGAACCAAGGACATTCTCACAGGTGGCTGGCCAGAGGATGAGGGAAGTAACCAAGCAACCAGCAAGGTCCTGGATTGGGCAATGTGACCAGGGACTTGGAGGGGAACAGGGGAAACTTTTTACTGTTAATTCGGTGAAAACTGCAAGAACTTTTATAGAGTCAGCTTCTACCAGTTGTGCCAATATGATGTATCCAATAAAGCTGTTCTTTGAGGAACTTGCCTGCCTCGGAGTTCTAATTTCTATGGGTGCATTACTTGGAAGACTGACATTAAGTATTAAATTGATGAAATCAGGAGAGGCGAGGAGTGGCTGGGAGAGGAGAGGCGCCCCTCAATGTGAGGGATTTGGTCACACCTACCCAGTCACATGACTACCCAGCCATGCCTTCCCAGCCAGTCATTAGGGCAGAGAATCAGTTGTTAAGTTATTGGAATCCCACCACTGTCGTCGTCTTCATCTCAGTGGATATGAAAGGAGCTTCTCTTGGAGAGCCCAGAGTTGTGGCGGGGGGTTTGCTATATGGACAGAAAGAAACTTGAGGCTCAGCCTGGGCCCACTGCCGAGGTTGAGAGTTTTGAATAGAATACTTTATTGGCCAAGTGTGATTGGACACACAAGGAATTTGTCTTAGTGTAAACACTCAGTATACATAAAAGATACATTCGACAGGAGTCGAGAATCATAAGGTATGACAATGTTAGTCGTAAGATACAATAAGCAGTCAATCATACTAGGAAACAGTCAATATAAATCAGTATACAAGTGACAAATTTAGAGTCATACAGTCACAAGTGGGAGGGGATGGGTGATAAGGAGCGATGAGAAGATTAACAGTAATAGAAGTGCAGACTTTGTAATAGTTGAACAGGGTTGAGGGAAATTGTTTAGCAGAGGGATGGCTTTCGGGGAAAAAACTGTTCTTGTGTCTAGTTCTGGTGTGCAATGCTCTATAGCTGTCGGGTTGCCTCAGGAAAGGCACCCTGTGAGGAAATCAAGAGGCCTGAAAAGCCTGGGGAAAAAATAAAATCACTTGAAGAAAAACCCAAACCAGAAAGCAAGATGCCCAGTGGGACAGCCTGACTAGAAAGTTAGTTAATGTAATGGGCTGAAGCAGAGCAGAATTATATAGAATAGAATAGAGTAACACTATTGGAACGGACCTTGGAGGTCTTCTAGTATAACCCCTGCCTAGGCAGGAAACCCTACGCCACAATATCTTTTTAAAAACTTCCAGTGTTGGAGCATTCACAACTTCTGGAGGCAAGTTGTTCCACTGATTAATTGTTCTGTCAGGAAATTTCTCCTTAGTTCTAAGTTGCTTCGCTCCTTGGTTAGTTTCCACCCATTGCTTCTTGTCCTGCCTTCTTGTGCTTTGGAGTATATCTTGACTCCCTCTTCTCTGAGGCAGCCTCTGAGATATCAGAACACTGCTATCATGTCTCCCCTTTTCCTTCTTTTCCTTAAACTAGACGTACCCAGTTCCTGCAACCGTTCTTCATATGTTTTAGTCTCAAGTTCCCTAATCATCTTTGTTGCTCTTCTCTATACTCTTTCTAGAGGCTTAACATCTTTTTTACATCGTGGCAGCCAAAACTGGATGCAGGATTCCAAGTGTGGCCTTACCAAGGCCTTATAAAGCATGATCTCAATTCTATCCCTCTATTTATGCAGCCTAGAACTTTATGTTGGCTTTTTTTGCAGCTGCTGCACACTGCTGGCTCATATTTAAATGGTTGTCCACTAGGATTCCAAGATCCCTCTCATAGGTATTACTATTGAGCAAGGTACCACATATAATGTACCTGTGCATTTGATTTTTCTTGCCTAAATGTAGACTATTGGCCATGTGTGATTGGACACATAAGGAATTTGTCTGGTGTATATGCTCTCAGTGTACATAAAGGAAAAATAAAATACAGTGGAACCTATGGTCACGACTGTAATGTGTTCCGTAACTTCGATTGCAACCAGATTTGGTCGTGACCAGAAGCAAGACCATACCCAAAAAATGGTGCAGAAGAGGGAATTGGCCGTAGCCATGTTTGATTGCCACCCTATTTTTGAATCATAACCCGATTCAAAAATGTGGATTTTTTTTTTGCTCGACACCCGATTTGGTCGTGATCAGAAGCATTCATGACCCGAGGTTCCACTGTATATCAAGACTCATAAGGTACAACACTTAGTGATAATCATAGCACTCAAAGCATACTAGGAAACAAAACAATATAAATTATAAAGATACAAGCAACCCGGTATAGTCATAAATGGGAGGTACTACGAAGGATGAGAAGAGTAATAGTAATACTGTCAGATCCGTGTATCTATCATTTCTTCAATGGAAGAAAGGGCGGACGGACTGATAAATCCTTCTTGATGTAACCTGAATATATTTAATCTTATATCGAATTTGTGTAACCTACACATGATACAATGGAGAGATGAAACCCAGATGGCCGGAACCTATCACCTCTGGGAGAGACAGCCAGGAGATGAAGAAACCATAAAAATTCCACAGTGAGATGTGTCCTGGGAAACCCTGGAAAAGATTGGTCTAAAAAGGGGGTGGGGGGGAACTAACATGTTGGCTCTTTGTTTTACTAAATATACATCAAGGTAAGGGGAGGTATTTTAAACTCCCTTATCTATCTCTGCATGCCTGAGAGACCTTAGATGCTGCTTTTAACCCCTACGTGAATTGTCTCATCTCAATAAAGGATTCCTTTTGATACGTTTTGATAGGTTTTCAGAAGCTCATTCTAGTTGATTGAATGGGAAAAGTTCTGTAGCCTGACATACAGTCTTAGTAAATAATTCGACAGTGTTGTGGGAATTAGTTGTTTTGCAGCTTGATAGCATTTGGGGAAAAACTTTTGTCTAGTAGTTCTGGTGTGCAGTGCCCTATAGCATCGTTTTGAGGGTAGACATTGACACAATTTATGTCCAGGATCTGAGGGGTCTGTAGATATTTTTGCAGCCCTCTTTTTGACTCATGCAGTACACAGATCCTCAATGGAAGGCAGGTTGGTAGCCATTGTTTTCTCCTGTGTGCCACTGCACCCCGCACGCCAGATACCCAACAATTGGCTGTTGGGCGGGCGGCGGGCACACGTGTGGTAGACCTTTTCTGGGTGAGTGCTCACATGCCAGCAGTAATGGCTCTGCGTGCCACTTTCAGCACGCGTGCCATAGGTTCGCTACCACAGGACTAGGAAGTTCGATGCAAGAGGTGACCAAAACTGAAGGACAGCAAATGTGAAACCCTGCTGAGTCCATTTAGCATGAGGAGTGTGCAACATGGGACCACAAAAGTTATTTCTCCCTAGCCAACAATACTAGGCTTAACAACTGCCTCAATCTCATCTTCTGCAATAGTTTGAATTCAATTTACGGAATACAAATTAAAGAACCCTTTTCCAACAGTGACCACAGCATGATTGACTTTTGTCTCAACATACGTCCACACAAAAATCATCACAACAAAATCCCCAATTATAACTTCAAAAAAGGCAACTATGATCTTATAATCAATGATCTCTCTTCCCTTGATTGGCAATTTCTATTCACTGGATGCAATACTGTTAAAGACCATTACAACATACTGTTACTTGAAGTCAAAAGAGTCATCAAACTATATGTACCAATAACTCCCCAAACAAAACAAAAAACAGATTACCCATAACAATAAGGAAGCTTCAATCCAAAAAGAGATCACTTTGGCAAAAAAACAAATCTGGTCACGTTGCCAACTTCAAAAGCCGATACAAAACTCTATGCCACCAGATAAAAACTGAATGCACCAATTATCACATTAAACAAGAAGAAAAGCTTCTACGCACCAATTCCACCTGTGCTTTCTACAATTTTATAAACAACAAACTAAAAGGACCATCCCACCCCTGAAAGGACCTAATGGTAAAGACTGCAATGACAACAATATTAAAGCCAACCTCTTTAACGCATTCTTTGGCTCAGTATTTGTAAGCAGCATTGGATCAAGCCCAGTACTTCCTAGTTGAACCACAGACAATTACAATGATCTAATACATATTGATTTTACAGAAGACATTAAGAGCAACTGCGTTCTCTTCACTGATGATGTAAAGCTATTCAACACCACAGACAATACTACTACCCTCCAAAAAAGACCTTGACTATGTATCAGAATGGTCAATCAAATGACAACTTCAAATCTCAACAAATAAATGCTCTGTCTTACTTATTGGCAGAAAAAATGAGAAAATAAAATACAAGCTAAATAGTCAAGACCTTGTTGAGGATCCAAACTTTGTCAAGTACCTTGGAGTACTCATCTCAAATGATCTAAGTGCTAGAGCCCATTGTAACTACATAGCCAAAAAGGCATTAAGAGTTGTTAACCTAATCCTGCATAGCTTTTTCTCTGGTAATATCACACTACTAACTGGAGCATACAAAACATTTGCTAGACCAATATTTGAATACAGCTCATCAGTCTGGAACCGATATCATCTATCTGTACCGGTATCATGTATCTAGTAACACAATTGAAAAAGTCCAGAAATATTTCACAAGAAGAGTTCTCCACTCCTCTACTCATTGCAGAATACCTTATGCCACCAGACTTGAAACTCTAGACCTAGAAAACCTAGAACTACACCGCTTCTGGTCCGATCTAAATATAGTATATAAAAGCATACATTGCAATGTCCTACCTGCAAATGAATATTTCAGCTTCAATCATAATAATACAAGAGCACACAACAGATACATACTCAATGTTAACCGCACCAAACTTGACTGCAGAAAATACGACTTCAGCCACAGAGTGGTCAATGTCTGAAATACTCTACCTGACTCTGTGGTTTCTTCCCCAAACCCCAAAAACTTTAACCTTAGACTGTCTACTATTGACCTTACCCCCTTCCTAAAGGCCTGTAGGGGGCGTGCATAAGCGCACCAATCGTGCCTACCGTCCCTGTCCTATTGTTTTTTATTTTTCTTATAAGTATCTATCTCATGTATTCAAAATTATATTTATTCTTATACCTGTATCTTGTAAGTGATTGACACATCAAATAAAATGTAAAAAACATAAAATGTACTTGTCCCAGCTTCTACCAACCTAGCAATTTGAAAGTATGTCAAAATGCAAGTAGAAAAGTAGGGACCACTTTGGTGGGAAAATAACAGCATTCCATGCGCCTTTGGCATTTAGTCATGCTGGCCACATGACCACGGGGACATCTTCGGACAGAGCTGGCTCTTCAGTTTTATAACGGAGATGAGTACCACCCCCTAGTACCATAAATAATTAGCCACATGTGTGCAAGGGGAACCTTTACCTTTTATGATCTTAATCTCTTTCCATCATCACTTTTGTGTTAAGTTTTGTTAGTTGGAGGGAGAAAAAATACATGAACTTTTATCCCCATTATATTTTGAAATAAAAAC